CCCCCGCCCATCATCTCCCACCCACCAGGGAGCCTTCTCCCTCAAGAAAAACAAACTTCAGCAGCCAGCTCCCTGGTGCCCTACATTCTCTCACCTCCCCCCACCCCGCACCCCACCGCCAGACCCCTCCATCTGGAAGGATGGACTAGGGAAGCAGCAATCGGTGCCCTCGGGGCCTGGCACTGGGCCCTGAGCGGGGAGCAGGCTGCACTTCCCCTTTCCTGGGGGGCAGGGGTGGGGGGCTCAGGCCTGTACCAGCAGTGACTGCGCTGAGCCTGCCCCCACCACCCCCGCCCCTAGGGAAAGTGCAGCAACAGACCCAAAACCAGAAATGCAAGTCAGCCTGCCTCTGCCAATCCTGCCCTAAACCGAGGCCAAGCCAAACAAAGCCAGGAGGGGAAGTGCCTCTGTCCCCAGAGAGGCCCCGCCCCAGGGACGCTGAGAAACCACCCAGGACCCAGGGCTCTCAGAGCACCCGGCCCGTTCCCCGCTCAGACTGCCCGAGGTGGACTTGGGTTTTGATTCCAGCGGTGTCATTTCCCAGCCGTGCAAGAGAATGGCCAAGCCTCCTGACTTCTCCAAGCCCAGCCCCTTTTCCTTACCTGGAACAGAGCCATGATATCACACCAGACTCACAGGACTAAGTTAGTGTTCTTCACAGGGCCCAGCCCCAGAGAAGCATCTGATAAAGTGGGAGCTATTATTAGTCTAGGCTTATCTTAGAGATAGGGAAACTGAGGTCCCAGGGGCTAAGGAAATTACCTAAGAAATCTGAGGCTGGTTCAGTATTAGAACCCCTGCCTCGCGGCCAACGGTCTCTCCCCACTTCCTTGGACCCTTACACACAACGGTTTGGGGCCCCAGGGGTCTAGAGGGAGGGGAGCAGGCTGTGAGCACTGCTGGAGGCCCCTCCCCCAGGCCCATCTGCCACAGGGCAGACACTGGCAAACAAGGACCAGAGCCCACCGGTTCCATCCTGTGCTCCTGGACGGGGCTTGTGTGAGCACCTGAGCCGGTGTGCTCAGGCCTGTGTTCCTGGGAAAGCTAGGGCGGCATCGGGTACCTGGCAGGGAAGGGGCCTCTGAAACCCTGGGAGAGAGGGTGGCAAGTGGGAGAATTAGGACAGGAAAAGAAATAAAGATGAGAGCCATAGTACAGGATGGATGCCGGGCCTGGGATCGTCCTGTGAGGGAGGGAATGACACGGGCAGAGCCGCACTACGTGAAACTGCCCTGGGTGGTGTGAGCAGGTGTGGCGCGAGGACGGGGACGTGGCATGCATACACGCAGTCATTCATTCTCCAAGTACTGAGTTAGGCCCTGGGGTGGGGATGGGGACAGCAGAGGACAAGTCAGACACAGTCCCTGCCCTCGGCTGAGCAGAAAAACAGAGGTTAGACAATTGGTCTTAACGAGTGTGGTGAGTGCTCTCATGGAGAAAGTGCAGGCAGCTGGGGACACCCAGTTAGGCAGCTTTTACAGCAGCTTGGAGTGACAAGAATCCAGCACTCCAGCCAAGGCGCCCCAGAGACCAGCCTGCTGGCCCAGGGCCCTGGGTCCGAGCGCTCCATGCAGCTGCCCCTCTTCTGCGGGGAGTGTGTATCTCTCCCATCCATCACTTCTTTGGCTTGGCTGGACCAGGGCTAATTCTGGGCATGTCTCGCCTGCTAGAAGCACTCAGGAAATGAACCAGGCCCTCTAAGTGGAGCCTCTGTTTACGACATAATCAAATCCTCTCCCCAGCCCAATCCAGGGCTCGGAACGGGCTGGGGGAGGGTGACAGGTGTGACATCCAGAGGCCTGCTCACACCAGCTATGTCCCCTGGGACCTAGAACCCCACCTGCTATTGGGGTTGAGGGTGGTGGCAGGCTGCTGGAAATAACTTGCCCAATGTCACACAACTACTAAGCATGGAGCCGGGTCGGCTGACCCCAGAGTCAACCTGCAGCTCGCACTCTGAGATGACTCATCACATCTACCACAGATGCCGCGCTCCTCAACTGCCCTCAGAAACCACTTCCTGCACTGGGCTGGGCTAGGCCGGGCTGGTGGAGGTCAGGGGGTGGGGGGTGGG